ATAAGTAATATCATAGATTGTCTTCCTTTCGCCGGCAACCTCAGTGAGTCTTTCAAGTCCCAGCACAAAGATACCATCGTCAAAACTTGTCTCCTTGATTAGCTATGGCTTGGAAGTGAGAATGCTAAAACTCACAGACTATGCCAGCGAAACCTTTACGAATGTACCAAGTCCACAGTACAGGCCTGAGAATAATGATAAGCAATATGGGAGAGGAGTTCGGATAAGATGCATCCGGTTAGGTCAGCCTGACAAAACAAACAAGTTGTGAAAATCAGGTCAGACCACTTTCATATATCGAAAGGAGATTGAGATCAAAATAGAGTCCAAAACATTTTGGTCTTCATATCTACTTTATCAGATTACAACCAGCCATTACAATCGAAGAAGGTACGCATAATATATAATCGAGTATGGTTCGCGAGGCCTACTAACAGAATTGTAGGAAAGACAATGATATCAGTCTTTATCCCACTGTATTTGGCCTATAGCGACCAAGCTCTTATTCAAGTAATACATACGATTTTAGGCCTATGCCGTTATCAAGAGGAATCTCAAGGAAAAGGCATCAAGTAGACACAAAATACGATAATGAAGATGGCCACAAAATGAGAATAAAGTTGAGAATTAACTATATTTACTGATACGCCTAGCGTCAGCTGCAAACGCAGCTAAATAAACCGTCTGACTTGGCACGACCAATTTGCCAATATGCAGTCAAACTGCTGGATTTCCTTCAAATTTGGCCAAATCAGGTCTGTAAGTGAGGCTGAAATTGGCCGAAGGTGACTTACTTTGATCAGCTTGTCTTTGCTCTCCACTTGAACCGTGAGACGCTCCAACTTTTGTCGTTGCATTATCGAGGGCGCCTTAGCCGCCATCACTTTCCAGCGTTCTGCTTCACCCACTGCCGTCTGCCTGGCCTGCATCTCCTCCTCCAGACGAGCTCGCATCTGCTCGTGTTCATCTGCCAGCTGCCGGTTGCTAGCCTTCATGCCCTCTACTTCCGACCTCTTTGCCTCCAGACTGGCCAGCTCCACGTCGTGTTGGTGTTGTTGGTCGGTCAGTCCAGTCTGTAGAGCGTCCCAACGTTCCCGCCAAGCCTGCGCCTCTTGTTGCGCGACAACAGCTCGATCCGACTGGCTGGCCAAAGCCTGAGCCTGTTCGGCCAGCGCCGTCTCGAGCTCACGCAACCGTCCGGCAAGTTGGGCAGTCGACGACGAAACTGTACGACCACCACCGCCGCCGGTAGCCTCTTCGAGGACAGCGGCGAGACGAGAAATCGAGGCCTCGGTGCGCTTGTTAGCCTGTTGCCAGAAAAACGGTTCGGCAGGACTCTTCAAATGACATGTGGCCGACTATGCTCCACAAAAATACACTTTACGTCTGAGTGATAGTCACGCTAGGACACGTAATTTGATACGTTTTCCCACAATAGGCCTCACATTTCCAATAAATTTCACATACCCTTGCCTGCAAGAAAGGTAGACCTCTCTCGTATGAACGGAATTGTAGTTTCAAACTCACCTCAACTAGTCTCATCAACAACCTCGGCATAAAGCGAACCCGGGTTGTTGTCGTGGTGCAGCATATACTCTAGAAATGGTACCACTATGCAACACCACTACGAGTGCGTCTCTGTCATGGGGAAGACGGAAATTTCAAAAAGGTCTAGGCCTCTTTAATATCATTTTAAATGTGCGATTGTCTATAAGGCATACTTGTATGCTCGAAAAAAATGAGGGTTTAAAAAAATATATTAGCATAACATTGCTGTGAAGATATTCATTTCGTATGAAAGTGCATGATGAAGCGATTTGTAAGTTGATCTCACCATAAGACAACGGCTCATTACAGTTGTGCTGCAGCCGTTTGACTTTGATACGACCATCAGAATGACGCAGTCCATGAGACATCCTCCAACATTTATGGTCAGGACAGGTTAAGCTTTAGTTTATTATATGACAAAAGTCTTCAGAGCTAGGACTCATTCTTACAAAAGCCTCAAGTTTTCACAATGAATGTACCTATTATATAGAAAAAAGCCGGCGACTCTTCTTGACTTATTGTTAACTTGAGGCTTCGCAATGAGTCCCAGCTCTGAGGATGGTCATCATATAAAGAACCAAAGCCTAGCCCCTCTTCGCAAGAAACACTGAAGGATGTCTCGTGGACTGCATCAACCTGAACGTCGTATTAAAGTTAAATTGATGCAGTAACATACAAATCAACCAGCGTCATTTGGTGAGGTCGAAGTAGGAATCTTTTCATCATGCACTAACAAACAAAATTAAATTCTTCATTACAAATTACTATTTCGTCATTAAAACCGAATAAATTAGTTATACTATGATAAAGTAGAAGTTATAGGCTATGAGTA